GAAGTGGCCAGGAAGTGTCCAGCAAGGCACAGCCTGAGCCTGCAGCTTCCCAGAGGGTGGACCCAACGCCTCAGGCAGCATCAGCCGGGCAGACACTCCCGGGTCCCGGCCTCATCCGGCCTGCGGCAGTTCCTCCCCTTCCCCCACTCCTGCCTGGCACTTACGTCCAGCCCCGCGCGTGCAGTCGGTCCAGAGCCCGGTGTCGCGCCGCGCCGGGCAGCCTCACTTTCCCAGTTCCAGCCAAGAAAACAAAACAGCCACAGGCCGCCGGGTACCCGGATTGAGCAGCACCGCCCCAGGAACTCGGTTGCGCATGCGGAGAAGGGGCGGAGGGAGCGGCGCGGGGAGAGAGTAGGACTCACCGAGGGAGGGCCAGAGAGAGCCACGCCCACCGCGCCGACGTCTCTGCGCATGCTCCGGGCGCCAGCTGTGGGGACTTTCCGCAGCGCTCAGTTCACATGTGTAAGTCGGAAGTGATACTTGGGTCCGACGTTCCAGGTTAGGTGTGGGAAGTTGCTTTCTCCTAAGCTTTCGAAAGAAGGCGTTTGTTGGGGCTCTGTATCCGTCTTCAGTGAGGTGGTAAAGTTTCTATTGCTGGGGTCGCTCACACAGTTATCTCAGGCATGGGTCCCGTGTGGTGCAAAAGGTAGGTCCGGGTTCGCGGGCTCACAGCACTAATCGGGGTTTTAAAGTCCCGTTTATTTTCTCAGAGCCTGACCCCGTCCTCGCCGTAGCTTCGCCTCCGTGCGTGGCGGTGTCATTCCCAGGAGGCGGGGACCTCCCTGTTCTGGAAGCGGGCTACTTGGGCTACCCAGAGGGTCCCGGCGCGGTGACCCTTTTCTGAGACTTGACTTTTTTTTTCCGTTTGCATTAAGGTAGGGTTTCTCAGCCTAGGCACTACTGACATTTTGGGCCAGATAATTCTGTTTTTTTTTGGGGGGGGGAGCAGTCCTGTGCGGTGTAGGGTGTTTATCTGCATCCCCTTCTTTCCCCCAGTTGTGACAACCAAAAATGTCTCCAGATTACCAGACATCCCATCCCGGGGAAAATCGTCGGGAGATAGGATTAGGTTTAGGAGATACTCTGGGTTTTGGGGAAGTGACCCTTTTCAGAGCCTGCATCAACGATGTCTTAGCTACGTGAACGAACTTGTGGCCGGGCTCGCCCGCTCCTCCCGA